AGAATCCACTGATATTTGATATGTTAGATATAACCACACTAATTATCACCAATAATTATTGTTATCACCAAGAATCTACCAAAGCACCAGATTCATCATAACATGTTTTCACATGGAATTGACCCAAGGGTAATTAGTTCTCAGAATTACTTACAGCTTCCCATGGAGGAGTTTAATAACTGTACTAAAATTAAATGGAAAAATGGAATTAAGGTATTTGGAGCAACACTCTAGTACTGTGGGAAATAATTTGGCTCTTTCCAATGAGGACAAGGACTCTGCACTTATAGGATCTCCGTCAAGGGCCAGGGCACCCTGAGCTTAGCTCTGCTTCGTGGAGAACATCGTGCTTGCCCAGGAAATAGAGCATCTGCTCCAGGAAACTGAATAAAAGCCTTTGGTTCACAATGACCCTTGCCTTTGATCCCTGGGAAGTCAGTGTTCATTTATTCCACTTGGACACGATGTTCACTTCCAGGAGTCAGGGGACCTATGAAATATGTTCTAAATTATCATTACACTGAACTGTACCATAAACTGCTGCCATGATATGGCCAGGAGTAGGTGCAGCAGTAATTTTAAAAAATAGGTATGATTCTAAATTAGGGAAACTAAATGGTAGGTCTGAACGTCTCAATTTGGAGTATTTTTTCCAAGCTACAAGTTTTCTCATTCCTTCTTTCTGACAGTTACATTCACGGCCATTAACGAAGTTACACCCAATAAAAGTACCACCCTATCTCCATGTTCTCGATAAAACCCTCAGTCCTCTCAGTCCTCAGGCATATAAAGAGCAACAATCCATTGTGCATTTCAGATCAAATGATTGGCAATATTTCAAAGACAAATAGATTTATCTTCATTGACTCTTAATACCATTAGCAGCATAGAAGGTCAGATTATAGATCTTTTTCAATATAAAAATCAGGCTTACATTTTTATGAAACATCTTAGAGGTCAAATGTTCTCTTCCATTGCTAACAAGTTACAGCCAATTAAGAGAGCAAACAGTCTGCCCCTGCCATCCGCCAAAGGCAACCCCTTGGGAAGCACCTATGTAACCTGAGCTGTAAAGCAGGGCAAAACGGGCCCTTCCCCTGCTGGAATTCCATTAGAAAAAGCACCAGCCAGCAATCACATGTAATAAAAAGGAAATGTCAATCTTTACTTACAGCTCCCCAGAAAAACTGACGCTGTAAAATTAACAGCCCACGGCTACATTTTTATAAACCCCCCCTTTCCTCTTCTCCCCAGCCCAGCCGAATTCTCTAGCACACCAAACATACTCTGGAACTGTGTCAGCTATTTCCACTTACTCTTACATTAATTAAAACAAAATAATTAAGAATGTCAGTGTTTCAGTCACACAGTCCTGAAGTGCTCACGTGTGGCCAGCGGCTCCCTGAGTGGACCCCGCAGGTAGAGGCATTGCCATCATTGCAGCGACGGTGCTCGTCTGGATAGAGCCTCTTTTTCCAAACTTTAAAATTCCCTATAAAAGATAAGCTCATCCTGTTTTTCTCTCTTCAGCCTGACACCCTCCCCGCCCCCACCCCCAGCAATCTCTTCATTATGCAAGTCAGTTTGGCCTCGATTTTTTCTTCACTTGGTCAGTTACCAGATTCCCCCCAAGGAAGTGAGAGCCAGCATGCATTCTCTTCTGCAGGGCTTTCCCTCAACTCTGTAACCCTGTACACAGAAATCGCTCTGTAAATCCAGACATGTTCTAGGGGCAACATACAGGAAAACTCACTTATCAGTAAATCTTGTCCCAGAGCACTGCCCACATTTGCTAGCCTTCATTAAACAGAGATAGTGTAGCCTCGTGGTTTAAATAGACTGCCGGGTGTTTCTAACTCCTGGCATACGTGTGCTTCTCATCTCCTCTGTATTGTTCCAATTTTAGTACATGTGCTGCCAAAGCGAGCAAAGGTGTGCTCCTAATGTGTCGCCTAGGACCACTGGCTGAATTTCTACCAAAAGGTAGGTTCTAGCACTAATGACCAGAGAGGGCGAATGATTCTCCAAGTTACTGTGAGTTGCCAGGAGGTTTGTGCACTAGTCGTTCACCTCTTTGCTCTCAGGCACATTCTCTGTCCGCACGCCTTGCCGCTGGCTTCCATCAAGGTTTGGTCAATGGAAGACGCTGTCGGGAGATGAGAGAGCAACAGAGGGAGTCCAGGGTGGCCCCGTCTCCCTTTCAGGCAGCACTCCCAGCGCTACCTGCATCTCCTCTGTCTTTCTGGTTCCCACTGGGGAGGCCCTCCTTCCATGCACCCAGCTTCTGCTGGGGGGTCCCGCTGTTTGGTTCCTCCTTCATCCCTCTCACCCAGTGGTGTGCTGGGGAATGTTTAACAACTGGCTCTGGAAC